TTCAACTGATTTGCTTTTTCAAAGGTTTGCTTGGTTGTAGTGAAAAGACCAGGTGAGATAGAGTGGGGTGAATGGAGAAGGAGGGAGGCCAGATAGGAGGACATGACCAAGTTCAAGATATGATGTGGGCTTGGATTAGAGAGTCAGCTGTGGAGACAGGGTGAGACGCTGGGCTTGGCACATGCCGCAAAGGGAGAGGCCTTTCTGATGAATTGACTGTGGGCAGCATCAGAAAGGTGAAGATTAAGGAGGGTTACTTCATTCACGCAATTAATATTTTTGAGTTCTCATTCTGTTCCAAGCCCTTTCTTAGATACTGAGGATATTATAGGAAACAAAACTAGGCCCAATCCTTATGTTCTATAGAACTTAAAATCTGCTGAAAAACGTCATTACAATGATCAAATGAATAAATGAATAAATAACTATAAGCTCAGAAAAGGGCAATGAAATAAAGCTTCGTGGTATTGTGAAGTCATATAACAGAGAGACGCAGTTGAGCCAGGGGAGGGGTGGGGGCGGGAGGACATGCCCAGTCCGGGAAGGCTTAGGTCCGGGAGGGAGGTAGGCTGTAACTAGGTGAGTCACAGAGGCTGTGTAGCGGCAGGAGTGCTTGGACCCGGTGGAAGAAGTGGGGTACAGTTGAGACACGGACCTAGGATGGCCCGAGGGGCTGAACAGCAAAGCAGGGGAGAGAGAAGAGGTTGAAAGGGTGGCAGTGAACACACTGACTATAGCCTTGTGGGCCGTGGTAAAGAGGTTAGCTCTTATCCTAATAACTATGAAAACCTTTAAAGGAACCTATCTGGGAGTTGCTATGGTTTCTTCCTGTTCTAAATTCTGTATTTTTCTTTCATTTAATTGGAAATAAGAAAATGGTATAGTTGCAAAGTGACCTTCAAAAAACAATAAAATTGCTGGCATTTGAGTAACATAATTATAGACTCTCAAAGAATCAGCAGGCATTTCCTCTTCCCCTCAGGTGTAATTGAACATTTCAGCACAGGACAGTCGTTATGGTCCTATAACACCATCAATATTATCCTTCCCAGACTTGAACTGCTTTTGGCCATTGTTCCATAGACTCTTTTCTGGACCCCCCAAGTTTTATGAGCTTATGGAGCATAGCAATATGCACATGTGGTTTGAGCTTCTCAGTATGGTGCTGGGTTCCAGGAGAAGTGTCTTGAGAAACGGGTAGAAGCTGCACGGCCTATTCTGAGCTAACTTTGGAAGTCACACAGCACTTCTAAGCAGGCTCTTGTTACAAAAGAGTCACTGAGGCCACCCCACATTCAAGAGAGGGGCATTAGACTTTGTTCTGAAGAGGAGAAAAGTCACCATGCAGGAGAGTTCATGAAATGGAAGGTTTTTTGTGGTCATCTTTGGGAAATATGGCTGTCAGAGAATTGCAGCATCTCAGGAAACCTTGGGCACCCACCTCAGTCTCCTCTGCAGTGTTCTGGCCCATGTTCCCCGGCCTTCGCTGATGTGTGCTAAGCACATGATGTCCTTTGCTCACTGGGACAACCCATTCCACCTTAAAGCTGCTTGGACCTGTAGATATTTCCCTCTTGTGTTGAGGAACCATCTGGAACCCTTGGTTTCCTCCCTTTAATTTTCATACACTCTCTGGGCTGTCAGCTAGAAAGGCTGCCTCCCTCTGCCTCGCCACGGCTCAGTGGAGATTTGAAGACAGCTACTGTGGATTCGGAGTTTTCTCACAGCCTAGCATCCCAGCTCCACCAGCCCTTCCTCATAGGATTGGTTTCTCTGTGCCCCACCCCATCTCAGTCTTGGCCCTTCAGAGGCTATTGCGGTTTTCCTATGAAGCAGATGCCCTCTTGGTTGCATCCCCCAATCCCTCTTTCCCATTTCCCACGGCCAGAGCTTTGATTTCATTCCAGTGGTTTCTTGTCAGCCTTAGTGGGTGAACTTAATGAATGAAAAATATTTGGAATAATTCTATTCCTCTTGCCATGCATTTGTTTAAGAATAGGCATGCAAGCTAAGCCAAGGAGACATAAGGTGATGATTGCTAGGGATCTCTGGAATTTTTCCCTCAGAAGGAGATGTAAGATAAGACCCAGCTTAGATGACTGGAACAGTGGCAGCCATATTGGGACATGAGGGCCCATCCTGTGAGGGAAAGCCAACTAATGAGGGAAAGAAACTGAGTCCTTGGAGGAGTTGTTGAGCCAGTAAATTAACTAGCCCTGGAACTTTTCCATTTCCAGACTTCTTGTTACATCAGAGACTAAATGTTCTTATAATTTAAGCCATTTATTCAGTATTTATCGAATAACTAGGTACTTTTCTAGGTACAAGGGATAGAAAGGAAAGGGATAGCCTTTTAAAAACGAGTAAATGAGGGGAATGAACTTAGATAAGCTGAGAATCCTTTAAATGTTGGTCCTTTTTATTTCCATCTTCCTATTTTTCCAAAATAATTATATATTTATTACTATTATATAACCATAAAAAGATGCTAATGCTTTTGGAGGGATGACTTTCTCTTGCTCAACATCCAGTGATCTCTTTCTCATCCTTCAGTTGGGTGTTCAGAATCTCCATGGTGAACTCTTGGGAAGGAGTCAGATATCTCCTAGACTATACAACACAGTACAAAAGATGGCACTAACCTATAGGATAGCATTTTGCGTACTGGACTATTTGGGAGGTTCTGAGAGCTCTTGGACTAGGAACCAAGTGAAAAGTAAGACAAACAGTAAGGTAAATGGGACTAAAACATTACTGTTATTACTAATGAAACCTAGGCTAGGGGATGTAGCTTAGGAGTGAGAGCCAAATGGACTTCCTAGACTGAATCCTCTATTTGGGCTGACTGATCCTGTCCCATAAATGCAGTCAGAGATAGGCTTCCCTATGCGAGGGTGGAGATTCTTCCCCTGGAGGAGCAGCAGAGAATGCCAGCCTTGTCTGGGAGCCATCTCCCAACAGGGAGAGATGAGAGCCTGAGATGAGTATATAAATCACTTCCAAATTTACCAGTCAGATACGTCACACCATTTCCTCTTTGGATGAGTGAGGAAAGAAGAATAGAGAGGTCCTAAATGTTACTAATTGAACTCCAGTCATCTATAAAGAAACATCAAGACTGGAAAAGTTTCTCATTCTTCCCTTTCCGCTACAAATTATAACTCTTCCCTTGCCAACTTGAACTACTACATGTGCTATCCAATGCAGTCACTACTAACCACATACGAGTATTTAAATGTAAATTAATGAAAACTAAATATATTTAAAAAGTCAGCTTTGTAGTCACAGTGGCCACATTTCAACTGCTCAGTTACATTTTGCTATGTAACATTACCACCGGCACAGAAAGGTCTACCAGATGGCCCTACTGTGAGTTGTGTTTTTTTTGTCTCACTCATCTTTGTATCATTGGACCTGATTCAGAGACACTCAGAAATGTTTCTTGAATTGACATACAAAAGTAGACAATTGCGTGTGTATTGTTTTAAATCTGCATGTTGTAAAAATCTTTTCTTTCCAAAGCAGCAAGGTATGAAAATGAAACATAGATATATCTTGTTAAACGAAATAAATCAGTTAAAGAATGTGTTCTATAATCCTAATTTTAAAACTTGTTACAAGAAAATGAGTTATGTTTGAGTAAAATATAAAACAGATTAGGTAGGCCCTGGCCGGTTTGGCTCAGTGGTTGGAGTGTCGGCCTGCGGTACAGAGAGACCTGGGTTCGGTTCCCACTAAGGGCACGTACCTCGGTTGCAGTTTGTCCCCGGCCCTGGTTGGTCGTGCGTGTGGCAGCCACTCGATGTGTCCCTTCACGTCGATGTTTCTCTCTCTCTCTCTTCCTCTCTCTCCCTCCCGCTCTATCTGAACAGAAAATGGAAAAATGTCCTCGGGTGAGGATAAAAAAAATAAAATAAAAAATAAAACAGATTAGGTAGAATATTCATTTTCTAGATATACAAGGAAAATTATGGCTTTGCTCAATGTCAGGTATTAATGAAAGGCAGTTTTAGGAGTGGATAGACTAAAGTATTTGGAAACATGTATTGAAGCATAATCACAGCCAAGTCGCATGCAAACCATGACATCTCTTTCCTAAGGAGCGTGCGAAGTAATATTTTCTTTCCTCAAACTTGGCTCCTTGAGAAGCTGCAGAGAAGGATAAGGCCAGACGGCACAGTTCTCATTTCCCTGTTATACCTCCTGACCGAGCAGTAGACTGTCTCCCACCTCTGCCTGTAGAAATTACTCTTGTCTGTTTCAGGAGTTATGCTAACCCTGGGAATGAACCCAGTGACTGTGTCAGGGTCAGAACACTGACACACTGACTGTGATCATCTCCTCGCAGCCTTACTCTGCTCCTCATTCGGTCGTTTATGAGCTCACAGATGCTGGACCAGACTTCAGTCCATAAAATTAAGGCATTCTGTTCGACGGAGCCAAATCTAAATTGCTGAAGCAAGGACAGTAAAGCATGAAGCAGTGACTTAAAAAGTAACTAGAGCCATCAAACCCACACTAAAAGTCAGCATGCTTTCGAAATGAAGATCTTTCGATGCCGCAGTAATTTCTTAGGGGGAAAAAAGGCTATCATTATGGGAATACTAAAGCTAAATGAGAATAACAAATAAAATAATACAGAAGACCACTTTAATTAGTAGCTCTGCTGTTTTGTTTTTTTGCGCAGTTGATGGAAGAAAAGAATATTTTCATCAAACTATTATAATGAATGGATTTAAAGACATGAATGTAATCATCCAGGAAAAAAAAAAATGGCATTTACAAAATAGTTTTTAAAATGAGCCTGATAAAAATGACTTCTCTGTAATTATTATGTTCGTTGACTAATATTCATTCTTAAACCATGATGGATTTTAGATTTGGGTAAAACTTCATGAGGATGAATGCATCCTTTGGGAGCTGATACTGGAAGAGGTTGAGTTGTTTGGTGAATTACTTCTTTCTTATTTTTTTTCTCTGCTGCTGTTTCTATTTTTCAGACCCACTATGAAAATGGGGAATATATCATCAGGCAAGGTGCCAGAGGGGACACTTTCTTTATCATCAGCAAAGGAAAGGTAAGCTCTGAGAGAAGAAGCGAGCCCTGCCGGAGGGGAGCTGGGGCTCCTCTGACCCCGGGAGCAGAACATGTGCAGGGTCTCGAGCTACACCGACATTTCCATTTTCTGAAACTGACAGAGGAATATTTGAGAATGAGTTTCCCAAAAATAATGCCAAAGGAAGAAAACGTGTAACTTTGAAGGCTGGTAAACCAGTCTGTGTGCTGTAATAAAATCATGATGCTAGATGCCGCTGAGATGCTGGCGTGAATGGGAAGTTTTCTATAATTAAAAATATTTAATTAAAAAGGAAAAGACTCAGCTTGCTTAAAAAAAAATATTTAACAGGAAAAACATCCATTCAGTTATTATGGGCAGTAAAAGTGCTATAATGGAACATCTGGACTTCGAAATCAGATGGCCCAAGTGTGAATTCAGCTTTGAAACTTACTAGTTTTAATATCCACTTTGAGAGCAATAGGATATAAATCTATCCAAGTCTTATAGTATCTTCCTAAAGGAAGATTTAAGGAATACTAAAAACGATTAAAATGATAAAATGTAGGGCAAGAGTAAATATGAGTTAGACAAGGGATATGCACAAAAAATTATAATTTATTCTTTACTATATTTCAATTTTTCAGTATAATGAAACTCTTATTTTGATTGTTTTTAAATAATATGTTTTTAGTGATGTTTTAGAGAGAAAGGAAGAAAGAGAGAGGTAGAAACATCGATGTGAAAGAGATACACTGATTGGCTTCCTCCTGCACACCCCCTGAGGATCAAGCCCACAACGGGGGCATGTGCCCTGACTAGAAATTGAACCAGGCACCTCTCAGTCTGTGGAGCGATGCTCAGTCCACTGAGCCAGGCTGGCTGGGAGATTTAAAATGAAATAGGAAATTAAATGAATTGGAAAACTGGGACTTATGTAGATTAATACTCTGATATTATATTGCTAAAAATATCTTTTAGAAAATAACTTAGATTTCTTTCAATAGTAAAGTCATAATCGTTTTTAAATGTAAACATTGCACTATAACCTATGATTTGAACTTATTTTGCTTTGTCATAAGTGATCCTTAAAAATAATTTGTATGTGTTAAGTATAGGAAGAGATGGGGAAGGAAATGCAGTGGAAGGTGATTTCTATGTGCTTATTTTTACAATTACTTAAAAATAAGTAAATGTATTTCCTCTGATTTAATGTACATGACTGAATCTGGTACTTTATGGCACACATTAAAACAGAAAAGAGATTTAAAGAGCCACAGTGAGCAGCATATGTGAAATATTATAAACCTTGTTGGATAACATTTTAGATAATTCTTTTTGGACAAATTCTGAATCAAGAATGTGTATATGCCAATGTTTTACACCAGTGGTACAGGGAAGAAAATAATACTCATACTTTTATTGTACCTATTTTTTGACTGATAACAGAAAGCCTGGGATAGAAATAGAAGTCAGGGACCAGCTTTTTAAAAGGCGTCCTGAAATGACATGACTGACCACAGTTATGGTTAAAACTGTGTCTTATTTTTTCCATTGTTAGAAGATAAGAAGCACAGAGGTTCATGGCTTATATATAAATTGTCAGAGCCTACCATTTGCTGCTTTATTTCTCAATGTTGAGTAAAGAATCAGGGAAAAGGAAAAATCTTCACGGATATAAATTATTCCATTGGTCACAGGGAGACTTTTTTTGCCCTCATCATCTGGGTCTATTGTTTGTTTATTACATTGCTAATTCTTTGCTATCAGGGAATTATATGTTTATCAGGTATGATGAATTTCTCACAGGCTTATGTGAATCCCCTATTACTGCAAATTCCCAGCAGTGCCTAACACAAGCTGTGTTTGTATCCAGTTTCAGCTGAGGACAGGTGCATTACTGGCACTGTTTTATGAGTTCCATAATAAGTCTAAATACAAATAGCATGGAAATTACACCACAGGCACCAATTCCCTTGGCAATATTTTAGAGCACCATAAGGATTCTGGGAGTAAAGTAGTAAGAATCTATGAAATTATTTTCACACATTCAAGATATTTTTTTTAAGCCAGGTATAAACTTTTCCTAAGCATGTTTTTCAGGTCAAACAACTTAGCTGCCATGATTCCTAGTTATATAAATTACATGATAATTAACATATAATGGATTAATATAGTAATTATATTAATTCTAATATTAGTGTATTGGAATCACTATAGTAAGTTGTAAGAAACAGAAGATGGGCTTACTTAGTCCTAATGGGAAGGCATAGGAAGAGAACAGAGTAATGAGGGAAGGCTCAGGTAAGTTATGGAACCGAAATGTTCTAAAACTGTATGTTTTGTTTTAGTTATACAGGTGTAAACTTGTTTTCACATGCATTGAAAAACTTATAAAGGATAACCCTGGTACAAAATTTTTCTTGTTACAATCAGACTAGTTTTTCCTTAGGAAATCTGCAACAGAGAAATGCAACAGGGACTATGGCACTACAGATGGATTTCCCCTTGTTCAAGTCCATTTATTTAAGTGCGAAACAGTTTATTTTTTTTTAGGTGTTCTTTTTTTATTTATATTAATTAATTTATTTTATGTTACAGATGTTTCTCCTTTTTCCCCCGCTCCTTTTTCCCCGCGTGAAACAGTTTTTATAATGTTTTTCTCTTGGTGCAAATGTGCATACACATTAAATTAAAACTTTAGAAAGGGAATCATGAACATAAAATCCACCACAGACGTTTGAGGGAGGAGGGTAGGACACATGATGGAGAGAGATTCTGACTGACTGCTGTGTTACAAAGAACCTTCAATTGTCAAATCAGACTCATAGCAATCATGGATCTTATCCATGTTGGATTTAATTCATAAGTCAAAGAAAGTGAGCAAACTTGAAGCTAAAGAAGAAAATATTTCTTTGTACATGCCCCAAACTATCATTTAAAGATCTGTGTAGTGCGTTTCTGCGTTAGAAGACACTTTAGTTTTGAAAGAAATAGGACCAGTTTTTGAGCAACATATACAGAACACTATCTGAAAAAAATAGCTCTTTTGGGGACTCTTCAGTTTTACCATCTATTAGTCACACAGGTAGGAAAATGCTTTGGTCTTGAGCCTCCTCAGTTAGGCAGGAAAATGTTTGCATGACTTTACTCTTTTTCTCTAGCTGGGTCTGTCCCATGAGTCTATAAAGTCTAGATTTCTTTATAATGAACATTGCTTTGTTTATGAAAGCCACTGAGTCTTTACTAAAATATTTTATTTTTCTTTTAAATTATTTTTGATTAGCCTGGCCAGTGTGCTCAGTGGTTGAGCGTCAACTCATGGACTGAGAGGTTGCCAGTTCGATTCCCGGTCAGGGCACATGCCCGGGTTGTGGGCCAGATCCCCAGTGGGGGGCATGCAGGAGGCGGCCAATCAATGTTCTCTCTCATCGATGTTTCTATCTCTCTCTCTCTCCCTTCCTCTCATTCTAAAAATCAATAAAGGAAAAAAAAGTTATAAAAAAATGTTTGATTAAATGTCTTGGTTAAGTACATTCATATTATTTATTGAAGATTTTGGTATTAAAAATTAATTGTATGTGTCCTAATTAAAATATCTAGTTTCTATTTTGATTCTTATTTTTAAGTTATATATAGTTTTAAAAATGTAAATTACAATACCAAAGATATGTCTTATGGAAAATTAATATGTAGACAATTTAAAAGAACACAAAAAAGCACTCTCTTTTATCTATTTAGAACTAAAATAGTTAATGTTCTAAATAACATTTTACGGCAAAAATAAAAGACAAATAGTAGTGGTAGGAGATAATTAAATGCATGGAATTTCTAAAATAGAAAGTGAGAGAAACAGAAGTAAGGGGAAAATATAGAAAAAGCAACTGACTTTTTTTGGACACTTACTATTTTTTTTTTTATCCTCACCCGAGGACATTTTTCCATTTTTTGTTCAGGTAGAGTGGGAGGGAGAGAGAGGAACAGAGAGAGAGAGAGAAACATCGATGCGAAAGGAACACATCGAGTGGCTGCCACCCACACAACCGACCAGGGCCAGGGACAAACTGCAACCGAGGTACGCGCCCTTAGCGGGAACCGAACCTGGGTCTCTCAGGACCACCGGCCGATGCTCTAACCGCTGAGCCAAACCGGCCAGGGCTGGACACTTCCTATTAAGAGGACGCTTTTGATAGTTTTTTTTTCATTTAATTCACATACCACACACACGCAGAGACACACACACACACACACCTCTTCTATGATATAAGCCTCTCAATTTTGGACAAGTTAGCCAGGTAATATGAGTTCAAACAGATAAATATTATTATCTTTATGGCTCTATAGCTAGTTTCTTTATACAGTGTTATGGATCATAAATTACTTTTTTGGCTTAAATGAAAATAATAAATATACAGGCCAAGGTTAGAGAGGTTATCTCTATATATTTAACTTTCTGTACTCTGAAATTGCTTCAGAATTGAAGATGCAAATGTCTGTGATTGGTGTCTGTTCATCTTTAAAATGATTCATTAAATGTACAAAGAAAAACTGGAAATTACAGCTTTAAAGGAAAGCTTTATTCTTGCTCTATGAGCTGCTTATTTTGTCACATTATATTTTTATCCAGTTAGTTTTTTTCTTCACATTCATCTAAGCGGAAAGTGGTTTATTTTGTAGATGGCCCACTTTTTATGTCTGCTAGTATATTTCAGTAGCATCTTTTTAAAGACCATTTCAAAACGCACTGAAATTTCTCCATGGCCATTTTGAATTTCTAATATATTTTATTTCCCAAATGGCAAATGTATAAGTATATAACAAATATATCTTTATATCTAATTTTTAATTAATTATCTTAACTTCTAGCATACCTTAGTCCTTGACTTTGTTTTACAGCCAGGAGGAGGGATAGAAACAGTTTTGTTGAATTGCCTCATTGTGCAGATGAGAAAACTGAGGTTCTGAAAGTTAACACTGTATCAATGTTTGTCAAAGATTGAGCTGTAGAATATTTGCATCTAAATCACCTACTTTAAACTTTGAAGTTCAGATTTCTAAGATCCACTCAATCAGAACCTTAGGAACCTGTCATTTAAATACCTCGCTAGGCGTGTGCACACACAGGGAAGTTTGAAAATCACTGAGCTAGTGAATTTCCATCCACATCTGTACAAGCCTCATCAACATGCAAATGAGCATCTCTATGATATAGCTTAGTGGTAAGATTGCTAAAAACCACATTGCCATGATTTTGAAATGTGTGGAGGAGTAATCAAATGGACAAATAAGTGGAGAGTAATACCTGAATTCCCTTCACCTTTCACAGACCTTCTTAATATTTATACAAATTCTGGTCTTTGACATCCAGTCTCTAAATTAAAAAACCTGAAGCATAGTATTTTTAAGTGTGTTTAAGCGTCCGACATTATCTCAATAAATTAGTTTTTCTACTTCATTTTCCGGCATATATATTTTAACTATTTGACCTTTCTGGGTGGCACATAGCCAGTATTATGAATATTAGTGCAGCTGAAGGGGGAATGAATTAACACAAAGGTAAAACTTATTTATTACTTGCCTTCTGTGAACTATTACTCAAGTCACAAGTCCTATATGGGCTGAGGTATCTTGTTAGTAAGGACATTTTTCTGTTCAAACGATTTATAGCTCTTTATTAAGTGCTTATTATAAATTGTAGAGGATGCCAAAGAAATATCCATTTCTTTGAAGAGCATATTATCTATTAGGATTTAAATATATATATATATATATATATATATATATATATATATATATATATATATAATTTCTATATCTTTTAAATAAGAAATCCTGGTGAAAGAAGTACGTGGATTGTGAGGATATGAAGATTATAGTCAGAGACCTGCAGGAAGACTTAATGAAAATGTGGCCTTTGAATGAAGGCTGGATTTTTCCTTTTTAATCTTCACCTGAGGATATGCTTTTATTGATTTGAGAGAGGGAGACAGAGACAGAGACAGAGACAGAGACAGACAGACAGACAGACATGCCCTTACCAGGGATTACATCCGCAACCAAGATATGTGTCCTGATTGGAAATCGAACCCACATCCTTTTGGTGGTTCAGTTGGTTGGTGCTCCAATCAACTCAGCCACCTGAGCAGGGCAAGGCTGCATTTATGTCCTAGAGGAAATGGGATATGCATGTAGAGATATGTAGAAAGATGTTCATTGCAGGAAAAAAAGGAATCAACACAAATGTTCATGTACAAGAAAATAGATAAATAAGCATATGTACATAATGGAAGAAGGCAATGGATGCACCATATTTATATCTAATAGCATGGAGTCATGAAAAGAATGTTAAGAGAAAAAGTGTAAGTCACAGAATGATACATACCATATTGTTCTATTCATACATTTTAAATACACGTGTATATAAAAAAGAATTGGAGGAATGTTCACTAAATTTATCATCATAGTTGCCTTATAGGAGGTAGGAAATGGGAATAAGGATGAGGATTAAATGAAATTAAAATTTCTGAATAATTTACTATTTCTTGAAAACAACTTGGAAGTATAAAAAATATTTGGAGGTCATTTCTTTGGCCCCTTTAGTGGTGATATACTTGTTTTTCTCATAAAAATAAATATAAAAAAAACAAGAGATGGAATAACATTATCAATTAGTGTTCATTTGCTCATCCAGGGTATGCATTGGATATAGACTTTCCTTGTTTCTCTTTGCAGGTAAATGTCACTCGTGAAGACTCACCAAGTGAAGACCCAGTCTTTCTTAGGACTTTAGGAAAAGGAGATTGGTTCGGAGAGAAAGCCTTGCAGGGGTAAGTAGATGATGTGTTACCCAGTTGAGTTACCCAGTTTCTGGTTGAGTATTACATACATCCCTGTCTGAAAGATTGAGCTCCTAACAAAATAGGCTCTTTTTTGCTGATCCTATTGTCAGACATGGACCCTTGGTCATTTGTACTTATTTCCAGCCGGAATTGTAATTTCTTTCAATAGGCTGTAGGATCGATTAGTGGTTACTTCTATAATAAATACTTTTTATATTAATAGGAAAATTCCTCAGCTGTACGTTTCTTAACTGCAAGCTCTATAAAGATAAAAGAGGAGGAGGAGTCTCTGCTACACTTTCTTTGTGCAACAGTTTCCCTCAGAATCACAGGGAGGTTGTGGACATTTTTGAAATCCCCAAACCTGATTGCACAGACAGTAAATCAGAAGACCGTGAAGCCTTTCTGGGAGTCACCTCTGGCTGACCGTTGTCCTTGCTGGTTGTGTAGTGGAGGTGGAGGAGGAGGAGGAGGAGGGCCTGGAGGTGATTTATGCATGCAGATTCTCTCTGGGTGGGCTCTAAAGGCTGGACTCGGAGAGGTGTGCTGCATTGTCACTGAAATTCCACTTGGAAACTAAGACCTCAAGAAGTAAGCATTTGGGATTTCTTCCCACATGCTATAGACGAAAAACTCAGTTGACTTTGTACTGCTCACTGTCCCGAATGTATGACCAATGTGACAGATATATTTGGGTATTCTGCTGTTTTTCCATAAGCAACACATCTCGATTATCAGTATATATAGAGAAAACTTTTCAGAGTTCAGTGCTGGAGGTACAATAAACCACTTGAGTAAGAAATAACCAATGCATATTTATTTTTGCATCAAATTCCTGGTATAGGACTGTCTACTAGAGAGGAACAGCAATAGGATATAACATATTCTTAAAATATTTGGGACAGTTTAGCTTCCATTTCAAATTATGCCTTTATTTAAAAATTGTATTATATGAAATTTGCTTAAAAGTATTATAACGAAAGTTTGAGTTGTTTTTTTTAATTTTATTTTTCAATTAGTTTATATTCAATATTATTTTGTGTTAGTTTCAGGTATACAGCACAGTGCTTTGACAAGCATATACTTTACAAAGTGATCTCCCCAATATTTCAAGTCCCACCTGCACCATACATAGTTATTATAATATTACTGACTATATTCCCTATGCTGTACTTTTCATCCCTGTGACTGTTTTGTAATTACCAGTTTGTACTCCTTAATCCCTTCAATTTAAGGAGTTTTTTCCTTTTAAGCCGTAATCAGTTGCCAGGTCTTATTTTCTTCCTCATCATTTCACAGTTACAGAAATAAAGTGATTTTGATAATTCATCTTACTCTGGCCACATCATCTTATGAAAATTCAGAACCACGTACATTTGACTTTCTTTTTTTCTTTTACTTAGTTCATTTGATCTTATCTGATGAGTGTGCACTTGCCATTACATTTTTTCCAGTGGCACAGTTGGAAGAAATACCATGTTTGGTGTAGATGCACAAAAGAATGCAATCAATATTATCTTCCATGTATGAAATGCATGAATGTATCATTTGTGCTTTAATCTTTCTTTCCCTTGATTATTATATATGGAGAGGATTCTAGAGAATAATGCCACCTGATTGCATTGGTCCAGGATTAAATGCCTTTGTGGAAATTGTGATTTCCAGCAGAGCCAAAGAACCAGAACCATTTGCAGTCATTTCAGATGAGATCACAAGTGGAATACCAGAAAATAAAACATAACTGAGAATGGACAGATTTTCATTTAGAGCTTACTATCACTGAATTTTGGTGCCAATTAAAGAAAGCTTTTATGGTGAAACCACCTTCCTAGACTGTGTCTTCAGAAGTGACCTTGGGGCCCAGCTGGTGTGGCTCAGTGGATTGAGCATTGTCCCATGGGCTGAGAGGTCCCAGTTTGATTTCTGGTCAGGGCACATGCCCAGGTTTCAGGCCCAATCCCCAGTAGGGGGTGTGCAAGAGGCAACCAATTAATGTTTCTCTCTCACATTGATGTTTCTGTCTCTCTTTCCCTTCCTCTCTCTCAAAAAAATCAATAAAAACATTTTAAAGGAAAACTAAAAAAAAAAGAATGACCTTGGGGATATGATTTATGAAAAAAGGTACCAAATTTTGCTCTGATGTCAAAATTTAAGTTAATGGTATTCCATCTAGATTGAATTTGTTCTTGCATATGCTTATTCTTGTGAACTATCTGTTACCAATACCCTCTGTTTTGGACATATTCAGCCTCTTCACTGGCCATTTTATCACCCCACCACCACCATTACCCTTATACCCACTCCCAGCCTACTCCCATCTCTTTCTTTCTAATTCCCTTTAATATTATTTTGTCACTACTCAACCTGGCTTTAGCAGTCTACTCTAAGTGCCCTTTTAAATGTCACCGGGGATTTGCTACTTACATCATAGAACCATCTTTTTTTAACTTCATTTGACTTCACTTCTCAGCCACAGTTTTACACTGTTGACCAAACCCTCCTTTCAATTCCCCATCCTCTGAGATCCCTACATTTGTTGGCACTCTTTACAATTTCTCATTTCATTTTCTAAAAGTCACCAGTGTTTTGTCCTCAACTCTCTGTTACATAACATCTTGGTATACATCCAGATCTATGACTGCATAGTCCTTCGATGAAAAGAGGTCCCAAACATTTACATTTTGCTTTGAGCTCGCTCGGCATCGGGTACTTTTCAGTTACTCAACATATGTTGAATGAACAAATGAGACTCTCTAATGATGCCCATCTTGCAATCCCTTCTGCCATTGATCATTTTCACTACTTGAATTTGCTTGATGGTGAATAGGGGTTTATAACTCACTTGACTATAGGAATCAGGCTGGTAATATACATAAGTAAAAATACAGGGAATAAAACTGGTGGCAAACTAGAAAGCCATTTGTAATGAGGATAGCCATTACAGAGCTTCAGGTCATTGCTACATTGTTTTTTCTTAATGGAAAGCAGGAAAAAAAGTAGATATTTAAAAAATAGATGAAATGTTATTTTGTAACTTGATTTTTCTAAAAAAGAAGGAAAGAAAGATTCTGCAAGGAAAGAAAGCATTTCTGCAAAGGATTTGAGCTGTGAGCTGCCATTTTGTGATTTCTATCAATCAAATAGGCCTTTTTAAAACTATTACTAGATTCAATTGAAGGAAGCCTATTAGGTTAACCCTTCTTAATTATTTCCTTGTTTCGATTTTTGACATAGTAATGTTTTGATATTCTGTCTGTGAGTGGTTTTTCACTTTGTGTTTCTGTGTTCTATTCTGATCTTTTCTTTGAATTTTAATGTTTCACACAAGAAATTCCCGCTTTTCACAAATCGGATTGATTTGTTTCACTTGTCCCTCCCTAAATATCTTTTAAAATTACGCAACTTCAGGATATACAGTCTTTTGGGCAACTGTATGTATTCCTTTGGGTAATAGCTATGCTTCTTTGCAACCCAAATGATTTTTATATTTGAAAGGTAAATCCTATAGTCGATATTCTCTGTGTGCACAGCATTTCATATTGTTGTTTTCTCACAAATAAAATTTATATGTACTGGGAATTTTTGTTTCATTTTCCCGACAATGTTCAGCAGATCATTAAAGTATTGGTAAATTAGTACTATTGAAATACATTCTTGACCATTCTTATTAAAATTATCAAATTAAATTTATTGGGATAACATTGGTTAACAACATTATAGAAATTTCAGGTATACCACTTTATAATATGACATCTGTATACTCCATTGTGTGCTCACCACTCAAAGTGCAGTCTCCTTCCATTATCATATACTTGATCCCCTTTACCCTCTATGTTCTCCCTATTCCCATTTCCTCTGGTAACTACCTACCATTCTGTTGTCTGTATCTGTGAGTTGTTTGTCTGCTTTGTTGGTTCATTTGTTGCTTTTTGTATTATATACCACAGTGACTGACACACAGTTCTTGTGCTTTTCTGTCTGACTAATTTTGCTTAGCATGATATTCTCAAAACCCATCTGTGTTGTCTCAAATGTCTCAAATTTTATTTTTGTGGTTGGGTAGTATTCCACTGCATATACATACCATGTTTTCTTTATCCAGTCATCTGTCAAAGGACATTTAGAACACAAAAGACAAGTTTTCATGTGTTGACTATGGTGAATAATGCTGCAAACAATATAGAAGTAAACATCTTTATGGATAAGTGTTTTCAAAAAATTGGCTAGATACTGAGAAGAGGGATTGCTGGGTAATATGGTAGCTGTATTCTTAATTTTTTTGAGGAAATTCCATATTGTTTTTCATAGCAATTGTACCAATTTATATTCCCACCAACAGTGTGGGAGGGCTTCCTTTTCTCCACATCTTTTCCAACCCCCATTATTTGTCATCTTATTGATAATAACCATTCTCACCGGTGTGAGATGGTATCGCATCATGGTTTTGATTTGCACTTTCTTTAGTGATGTTGACCATTTTTTCATATATCTGTTGGCCATTTATATGTCTTCCTTGGGAGAGTGTCTATTTGGGTCCTCTGTACGTTTTTAATCTGATTGTTTCTTTTTGTTGAGTTGTATAAGTCTTCTATAGATTTAAGAAATTATTCCTTTATCAGGTGTATCGTTTGCAAATATCCTCATTCAATTCATTGCTTTTTTTATTGTTTATGATAATTTTATTTTTTTTGCTGTGCAGAGCTTTTTAATTTGATGTCGTCCCATTCATTTATTTTTACTTTTATTTCATTTTTCTTTGGAGTCAAGTTCACAAAAATTTCTCTGAGACCAAGGCCCATATGTTTAGTGCCTGTGTTTTCTTCTATGTATTTTATTGTTCCAAGTCTTATATTCAAGTCCTTAATCCATTTGAATTCACTTTTGTGTAGGGTGACAGATAGCAGTTGAGCTTCATTATTTTGCATTTGGCTTTCCAGTGTTCCCAACACCACTTACTAAAGAGACTTTCCTTTGTCCATTGTATATTT